GGTTGCGGTCAAGGAACCAGCTGGTCTGTATACATACGAGAGAAAGTGTTTAGGTACAGTTACGTATACTTCATTTGCTACGGGTCTAGTGGGAGTGGCCGAAAATCCAGGTTTTCGGTCACTTTTGGCAGCAACGAATTTCCAGCCGTCGCTGGTGTCTTAGTCCTTCTGTTTCACCGGAACCGTTTGAAGAGTGGACGAGGCATTAACCGTGCCCATTACAATGGGACTGGCGGTGGTTGTTTTAGGCATATTTGCGCAAACGTTGGTACTGACGTTTAATGCCAGAAGATGGTGCAGATTTACCGCGCTGCCTAGCCTACATCCTCAGTTTTAATGCGGTGCTGGATGGTCATGATCAGGATTTACTCTCTGTCACGCTTCCTACAAAGGAACCTCTTTTAGTGCTAATCCGTTGTTCAAACATCTTTTGTACTTCTGCGATTGTTCATATACAGTTTTACCAGTAGGATGAATTACAGTAAATCTGGTTTACTATTGTGTGGCTTCAAGTGGTTCACTGTGGGCTTGGAACATTTGTGATGGAACTTGCATTGGCAACTGCTACTCCAGATTCCGATCCGTACATGAAATAAGGTCATACACTGCTGGTGATCTGGAAACGCAAACATAGGTTTTGATTGGTTGCCACGATCCATTGCGTCGATCGATCATAATCCCAGAGAGACCCGAGCGCTTATACTTTGCTAACGGTCGCGTGTGCGCTGAATTTTCAGTATGTTCAAGGTCGCCACGTTCTGTACGCCTGGCCCAGACGGGTTAGATTTACGCTAGATCGTTTAAGTGGCAAACAGTGCGACTGATCGACATCGAAACAACGTGCACGATGGCTACTTTGATGATTGGTACAAAACTGTGGTTGCTTATTCGTCAGAAGATACATGTTGCTGGCTTCGTTACAGACCACAAAATGTCTGTGTTGTTCGTGCTTCGGAATACCCCTCCATTGAGTTTTGGCGGAAATAGCGCTAAAACCGTCATGTAGAGATAAAAGACGATCCACACAAGCTAGATCCGAAAGATGAATTGAACTGGATAGCGCAGATGAATCTGGGTCGAATGCGTGTGAATATACATTTGTGTGACAAAATGCAAATGAGAACGGCGGTAAAAGAAGCGTTCACAGATGAGCGATTGGAAAGCAAGTTCATTCAATTCCTGTGCTTAGATCCAGCGAGTGCCATTGGCTAATGTCCCATGGTCAATGAGAGTGTCACTGATAGAGCGTGCATTTAACCCATCAGGGAAAGAATGAATTGACATTCACGTGTACTCAAATGAATAACACGGTATTCCGATTTCTAACAAGATAACTTGCTACCAATATGCGTGAAGTTAACTTGAAAATTTTTAGATATTTTGAGGTCTAGATTTTGAGACCTACATTTGATAGCCAGAGCACAATTTGCTCAATTAGTCAAAGTACCATCTATGTGATCCAAAGGTTGGGATTAGTGACGCAGACAAGCTGACCACATAATGGTTTGCCTCAATAAGCCACAATAAATGAATTAAAGAAGCAAGATGTTCAACAAAGAGCGCTTTCAACTGTGGCTCGAGCATGGAAAGCAGCCAACTGAAGGGTTGTTGCGACGTCTCAAAGGCTCACCTTGCCCGCTAAAATGTTAGGTTATTGCAGGCAAAACTGCATTGGGTCTTCTTGAAATACGACAACAAGCATCTGAAATTTCTCTAATTCCGGCACTCAGTAACTATAATAAGTATAGACTGTCATCAGAAAAACGGGCATGTTGGTCCGGAGCACGTTTACTTTGAGCTACGCTATCAATACTGTATATTACGCGACACTTCTACAGTTCGCAAATCTCTAGAAGGGTGCGCAGGTTGGGGGAATTGGTACACTCGACCACGTGGGCAGCAGATGGCACCATTGATCAAGAATCGTTCTTTGACATTTCAACCAGTATTCACAGCAGTTGGATTTGATTACGTTGGCCCATTACTAGCGAAAATAAGACGGATAACGGAGAAAAGCTAGCGATGTTTATTTACATCAATTTTAGCTGAAAAAGTTCGTAATGATGTTACCCATTCGATGTACACAGAATGTTTCCTGTGCACCTTCCGGCGATTCGTTTCACCTCGCGGTGTTCCCTTAAGGATTTACAGCAATAACGAGTTACGTTTTCGTGTAGTAGAAAGCGAGTTGATAGTACTGAGGATTCCATGGAATCAAGCCAAAGTGCAAAGGTCACTAAGAGACCAAACTGTGAACGGATATATAATCCATCTTACGGCAGTCAACGTGGAGCTTTTTGGGAAATATAATCCGGTGACAAGAAGAATGCTCTAAGTGTTACTGAGCGAACAGATTAGTAGTGATGATGTACTGCAGCCAACGATTTTTGAGATCCAACTGTTCCTCAATCAGCGAAATCTAACAACTAACTCTAGTCATCCAGATTAATTCGAGACTATAACATCAAAGCAGCTTCTAACCTTGTCAGCCAACATATCCGTGCAGACGGCACGGACAGATATTCCGAACAGGATTACAAGACAAGAATTACAAGTCCACTAGTTGTCAGATGCGTTTTGGAGAATATTACTCAAGTCTTATTTAGCTACACTGCAGGCACGGCAAAAGTAGCATGAATGAGAAGCTAAGTTAAGGTTGGCGATTTGGTTCTGTTGACAAGAGATCTGTGACCGAAGAGCAACATGGAAGAAGCACGAATGGGACGCGATGGGATGGCACGAGAAATGCTTGTCCGCACTAATAAAGGAAGCATCCAGGGAGATGTGAGACAATTCTGTCTATGGAAGATACAATGAAAGAAAAAGCTACGGAGGAGGTCGATTTTGTTGGCAGGAGTAAGCATTCCAAATTCAGTGAGTACATTGTTCATTATCCAAATACATTGGCGAAACTTCATCGAGGTATTTTGTCCAATTGCAGCATGACGGCAGAATTTTATAATTTGAGTTTTCAGACGCACCACAGTTCTGTAACAAGGTTTTGTTTAAAATTTTAAACTTTAGATTGCTCGCATACTTATTATTTTTTGTTACCGTGCCATAATTTGTTTTGCGCTCACATTGGTTATTGGCTGAAGGCTGTGCGGGTTTTTGGCTGGCTTGTTGCGTGTTAGACGTTTCACTTATTCTTCTTCTATTTTGTTGTATTGTTAAACTACGATTTTTTAACACGCTTTAACATGAGGATTCATTCTGTCTATGGTGCTTGGTTTTACCGCCTGGACCATAAGTTTATTTTGTGAGTCGCTCCGCTTTCTTACTTCGCGTTAGTAACACTACAAATATCTTGATAGTTCTTGCAGGTTGGAAGGAATTTGTTTATATTGTTGAGGGACAGATGTCTCCCACTTGGAATTTTCAAAGGCGTTTGACCATCTGGACCATCACGTTCTGGTTCATATGTTCCAGAATTGTGCAATCATTGGTGTACTTCTGTGTTGGATAAACGACGTTCTTGTTCGACGTACCTATATTTGTGGGGTTGCATCACCCTCTAGGAAATAATGAAAGGAAATCTCCCGTTCCTGGTTTTCATAACTCTTCTCGCGAGCTTGATATCTTCTAATGTCCAACTATTTACTGATGACCTAAACATTTGGCGTGCTTCACTACAGTGGGGGATCAGACTGTCTTACAAGTTGATCTGGATATTGCATACACATGGTCACTAACAAATGCTGCAGTTCAACGCAACCAATTGCGATGTTCTCAGCATGTGCCATCAACATATGTAAAACTACTGACTTGGATTACAATTTCTACTGTGGGATTCTCATGTATGTTATCTCTGAGTGATCGTGAAAGTTAAACATTGAGGTTTGAGATAAACCGACAACAAAGCAACGAAAGCGAACTAGCCATTCGGCCTCCTTCATAGGGCTTTCGCGAAATGATTTAACGCACACGACTTTTATCTTTTGATTTCACAACACGACATCCGACGGGAAACTTGATGCATCTGCTTTTATTCCCTTATCATCATTATCTCCGCTAGTTTATTACCATTCGATTTGCCACTGCTCGTTTTCCAAATTCGTCATTGCAATCGATTTTCACGCTTAATTTATCTGAGCTAAATTCTGCAAGTATATTTGTTCTTTAGTTACATTGGAAATTAAGCAAGATGTTTTGGCTTTTGTATGTGCAATTACACATTTCCACCAGTTTGCCGAATCTTAACTTGGCTACATCATCTAATCTTCAATTCTTTATAATGAGATCATATATACAATGTTGTATCGCGAGGATACCTTAAAGAACTTTATTCATGCTATAACCAATGTTGAAGTGTATTCACCACTATCTCAAGCGTAAGCTATCTACTAGCGTTCCCTCATACTTATGGGTAGGTGGAGAGTGTAACCAACCTTTGAATGTTAGCTGGTGACTTTATTGCCTGGCTGGAAGTATTGATGACGAAATTTCGTGACCGTTTGATGCGAAAGTGCTCAAGGCAAATCGGGAGACTGATTTTCCCAGTTAATTCACTGCGCTGTATATAGATATCTGATGAGGAAAACCTATCTTTACAATTTTGCATTTAAAATTTTACAGAACTGCTGGCGTTAATCCAGGGTACGAAAAATGGACATGCGCACATTTTAAATACGTGAATTTCAACTACACTTTAAGAAACTTTCTATGGCCACTGAAATGTATGGAGTTACAGATGTGAAATTCCACCTTTGACCAACCGAAAGAAAATAGAATTAAAATTAAGGGAGTTAAATATAATTAACAGAGCATTAGCTGGTGGAAACCATCCAGGAACGCTCTTTGTGTCATTATATACTATGACGCCTCCAACATTCCTGAACTTTTACCTTTACCCCAATCGGTAACGAAGATAAATCCAATGGAGTTAAACAGCTAAGCGGACGATTGAACTGATTCGCAGCCACCTCATACTACTAGCATGCTGATTTGTTTTGAAGGCTTTCGAAAATATTACGTAATTGCAATAAACACTGCGAACTTACAGTATCCCACATGTGGCTCATCACATTTACTAGGTTCTGCAACAGAAAAGAATCGAATTAAGTAAAAAACAAATATTTTCAAGATTATATGAAATCCATCACTCAGTATACATATCGGGACTTAGCAACATAACAAGTGTACTTATTTAACATAACGCGCATATTCTGTCAGGTGAAAGCCCTAAGTGTTGCCTAGAGTAATGCTCCTGACTAATTATATTCATCTGGTGGACGCGGTCGCATTAACAAAATTTCTTTATAACAGACTACAATAGCATTTAATCTAAAAATGTCGCATCGAATTATGCGCACGCTCTCATGGCACATGATATGACGTTTATAGTTTTGGTCGAATATTTCAAATGCTATTTATTGCAGCTGTAATGGAAATTGTTGTTTCGCGCTAACCAACGGATTTCTCATGTTATACCATCAGCACGGTTGTAAGAAGGAATTGTAATTTACTATTCGTTTTCTGCCTTTTAGAGTTTGCTTGTAATATAGCCAAAGATTTTGTGAGTTCAAACTACGTTTCCACTAAAGTAAATTCATGCGATTATATTTTATTTGCTCAGGCCATTTTAACTTTATCTGTGCCTTCGCTACATACAAACTCCTAATCTCTTTACAAATGTTAGTGAGTTTGGTTAGTTAGAAGCTGAAGGTATTTGTGATTCCCTTAATGCAATAATAGCTTTGTGCAGGCTGTTACTATATTTTCAACAATTCTTGTACGGCTTTAAAGCAGCTACATGAAACCGTGTTAAAAATGCAGAAACAGCAATCTAATTAAATGATGGCTAATAATGTTGGTAGGACAGCTTCGCGTTTATACATATTTATGTTGAATACTAAAATTACTGTATTTCCCAATCAATACTTACCGTTATGCGGTTGAATCTAGGTGTTACTAGGATGCGATACAAAGCACCTACTCTTAAGCCAACGAATTGCTGCTAGCCAACTTTTCACAATGGTTAATACACGACATCTCAGCTAAGCGTTGAAGTAACAGCGCCGGTGGGTTCTTCATGCATGGACTTGCAGATTTACGGGTTACACATTAGAAAACTTAAAATGTGCATCTGTAAAACTTCGGGATAGTAGATTATTCAAAGAAGTGTGTTTGACATGTTAGCCTACTGTTTAAAATGCAACAAATTATTAATACAGGTAATAATATTTAAAGGAAAATTAAGATAATTCTCCGGAGAGCATATTATTCCATTCATCAGTGTCAGTAAATGTTTTAAATTAACAACGTCCCTGAAATGTGTTCTAGCTTGCCGCTTTCGTGCAGTTAGTTGACGGAAGTTGGATGCCATCTGCAAAGTCCTATTGAGGATAACGAATTTTTGGGTCATAAAAAGTTGCTTTATTTTGAGTTTTAGGGATGTTATATCAGCAAAGAGAAGTAATTTCCGCAGCAATTTAAACAACGATAGGACTGACTTTCAAATAAGAATAACAACACATGATACTTTTTGAAATTATTAAGGGAAATATATGTTTCAAATTTCTTACGTTGTCTTAAAATTCCGCCTCTCAGATTATTGCTCTGGCTGAGTTTTTGACAGTGGTGCCAAAAATAAAATTGATCGGCAATTAGTTGGCAAATGCTTAACGGATATCAACCTAAACCCTGGTATCGTCCGTCAGCTTCTTTAGCTGAGAATTGTCGACAGAAAATTTTCAAACATTTGTGAACTTTTATCCACATGATGAGTGCAAAGTAAATTATAGTTTATTAGCACACCTAGTTTGCTTACTGATGCAACTGTATCATCCACCGCTGCCAATAAACAGCTTGGAGCATTGCGTAAGGAACTGCTCTTGCCCAGCTCTTCTGCGTGCTCTGGACCAAAGAGTGTCGCCGGTCAGACGTACTTGCTATTTGACCGAGGAATCGGCGGTTAAATTATTGATACTCACGATTAAGTCGTCCGCATAATTTAGTATGACCGCTTCTACGGAAGCTGTTATTGAATTGGCGTAGGTAGAAAAGAGAAAAAGAGGGCGGAGTTCCTCCGTTTTCAATTCAAGAATTGGCGATCAGTTTGGAGGAGCATTTGACAATGAGACTAGTAATCTGGGTAGGTTCACTAAAGCAGTCGACAAATGGATGTTGGATGGATGTGATCCCTGAATGAGTTATCCGTTCAGCAACAATTCACAGTTAATGCGTTTGAATGCATTGTCATAATTAAGAAAACATCTACGAATTGATATTCTCTGTGGCCAACTGGTAGCAGTATAAACCATACTAGGCGGGCTATTGCGTTTAGAGCAGACGTCGTACAAAGGTAGGCAGAATGAAACGGGTCATTCGAACGAGTTTGTGACAGCATTATTTTAAGGATAAGGATGGCTTTCTCCAGGAGTTTAAATGCCAGATAAGTGCAGGTGATTAGTTGACATTTTTGGATTACATTTTCGGCGTTGGTATGAAATCGACACTCTTGCAGCAGTCAGCGATTTTGTGCAGCTGCATCTAACTTTTTATCTAGATGCAAGAGGCGTTGCCAAAAATGCAACACTGATATTGTGTAAGATGCGGGATCATTTATCTCGAGCACTAAATTCCCGCAACCCCGTCTTTTTAGTAAATTATCTGTACTTACCCTGTCAACAGGAGACAATGATTTCCCAGGCCCCCAACATGGGGAACTGGATGTCACTGCAGATGAAGTAGTATGGCATTTACAATACATATGGTTCAATTTCTATATATTTGCGTCGAAACAGGCGCATGTACTGCAAACCCACTAAGCTGTTTAAGCATCGTTTACAGTTCCCAAAATGATACTGGATATAAACATGTTTAAGATGGCATGGATCTTATTTTATGCCAACAGTAAGGGACCTCACTCGAGTACCGCATATTTCCTTATACCCTTTCTCCTTATTTCGGCGCAGTAGCTTCAGCTGCGGGGAGGAGAAATTGTCGGTGCGGAAATAGAGAGATTCCCAAGGACAATAGTTGTCCAGTAGAAATCTAGATAGCTACTCAAATTTTCATACTATTTTGATAAGAAACCTATTGCTTACCACTGCTTAGAAGCCACTATTTATTTAAGAACTATCGCATGTCTACGTATGTCCAAATTCGGTACACTCAACCCATATACAGCTTCAGCTATCCATCTGTTCCGCTTATTAGTGATCAGCCAATGATACATATACTGTGCACCGCTGCATCTCCATAATCATCCCCCTTATGATGTGCATATGATAAATGAAAAACAATTCATTTATGTTTTTAATGGAGTGCCCGTCTTTGTTACACCGATCCGGGCTTTCTGGTTGGTATAAACGAGGCCCCAGATGGCCGATATTTTCCTCTCTTGAAGCGTGTTATATAAGTGATATGGATGTTCAGAGGTGTATGTTGGTGATTAGCTCCTGCAGTTCTACCTTGCATTTCTCACGGGCTGTGGTTGTAGTTCTTAACCCTGCAGTTTGAATTCCCTTTCAATGAGAACGTGATAACAAGCTCATAGCAGTAAGCAGAACATAGCGGAGGATATAGCCAAATACATTTCCAAAGTGAAAATTTCTTGGCGGTATACAGTAGCATTAAGGAACACGAAATATGTATAAACAATAGTAATGACAATTTCAGTGTCCTAAAGTAGAAAACACAGGGGGTGTAGCTCTTAAAATATTTTGACAACGAGCAGCAAAATCCACATTTCACCTGTGAGCGTAAGTCCGGAGAACGAGTGCTAACTTGACGTAAATATTAATAGAAACACTGATGCGTTGTCCAGCAGCAAAATGTATAGAAAACACAATTGGACTGGGCAGCACGCACGATTTCAAAGTGCGGTTCCTTCACAGTTCCAAGTTAATTTAGTTTGCACTCTTGCCTTTCGGATGGGTAATATTTGTATGCCGGACACCATTAAAGTAAACCACCTAAGAACAGATGTGTGTCCGGAAAAATTGATGCTCATACGTCGTAAAGAAGTGAACAGCATACCACGAAGGATGATCGTACAGAAGAAGGAAATTCCCGTGCATTTAACTTTTGAAGGCAGCATGGAGACTAACCAGACCAAACGCCTGGAGGACGCTGATGAGAAGACCTATTTCGTGGTGCGCCTACGCATAGTGCACTTTTGGAAATTTTCGTTCGCAAAACCTTTGGAGGTTAGACTGCCTATGTTTACTCCATCAATGCATCGTATTGACATGTTGCTGTGTTGGTGAACGATAGTTATATCCTACTACTGAGTGCCAATCTCATGGACTCATGACAGCAGCACGAAGTTGTGTAGCAGAGTTAAGTGCGGTATACGAATTGCTCCATCAAGTCGCACCTAATCAAGTATGTCAAGCGAAACCTGAAACCTATCTTATGGTAGTGGATTTCATTCATGAGAGAAGCGCATGCGCATCTGGTAAATTCTTTCCTTCATTGCTGCTGCTATCTACGTGCGCCATCTCACGTCGGTGCTATGTGTACAGAAACAGTGGGTACGCCATTTATGTGACGGTAAAACCTATGTTTGGTACAAGATCATTAGGTTTTAATTTTACACCAACTCATCTCAGATTGATCAGGGATATCTCGTACTCCATTACGTTTCCTGTACACTAGTCCTACCTTTAGTAACCTAGTGGTTTTACTCTTCACCAGCTTAATTTAACACAATAATCGATATTCAGCCCAACTCGCCAACTTTGTTAGTTAACAGAAGTTAGGTATTTGTATGTGGAAACGTTTTACAAGAAAAATAAGCACACATATAAGTTTTCCTAAACCGTGATCCTGGGATTATTAAAGACTAGCATACACCGTGAATCTTCAAGATCTTCTAAGAGTACCTGAGCTTCGCTGTTTGCTATAAAGAGTCAGATGTTTAGTGAAGAAAGAGTGCTACTTGTTAACAAGTTAGTGCTGAATGACTCACCATAGAAGGACGTTTTGGGCCTGATCCGAACAGGATATAAACATTTACGCTGCGATGTTCTTAACTTCGTAGCAACTGTGAGATGAATCCTAGCATCATTGTCTTTTGACCAACTGTGCATATCAAAGTACAGCTCCAGCTTTACAACTGATCTTTCGGCAAATCGAAGACTCTTCTCCTCACCAGTTTTTCTGCATGCTATGGTATACGGAATATTTTGCTGGAGCTGAAATATGTATAAGTGATATGAAATGAAGAGAAAAATAGTAAAAAACTAAACAAAACGTACTAGCCAAAAGCGAAATTTCATCTTCTTATCTTTGAATGACAAATCAACATTTGCGAGTCCTGTCACAATAAAGTTGTAATTAACGTCTATTCTGGAAGATTGCTTGCACTATTTACTGACATTATAATGTTTCTTTAAGATGTTGAAGAGCAATGTGTGGTAAGGATGATTAGCCAGTAATATGTGCGTAAGCTCACCATTTAACGTACTGTGAATTTAGCCATCGACTGAATTTTGCAGACTTCTGCATCATATGAAATATGTTTAGACACGAGTCACTCTGTGTCCGTTGCTGAGTATTAACTACGCTATTTGCTGTTAAGTTATGCATAACTAAACCGCGATATCTTCGGAGGTGGTGCACAAAATGCTATCTACTTTCCCAGACTCAAGTTGTCGCCTCAACAATGAAAGTGAAATTCTACCCATAGGCACAATTATGCAGTAGATCTGAAATGCGTTACAAGTCATGCAGATACCGAGGATACATTCAACTCAACTCACTATAACTTGGTACAGAATTCAGGGAACCATTACTCGCATCTCAGTCGACTTACAACATTTACTACTTCAATGAGTAGCAACACTTTTTTATCAGCCTCTACACTTCAAACTGCTCACAGTTTTATTTGAATGTAAATGTTTACAACTTGCCTATATGCTTTGAGATGCTTTTCTTTGGTTCCTGAACCAAATACTTGCTTACCAATCGTTGTGGTTTATTTCACTGCACTTTCTGCCTGGTTGCTTTTTCACTTCCGAGCATTTGCTAATCTGTAAGCTTCGTGCTGGTAATCGTCGAGCCAACCACCAGAGTTGGATCTTCTAGTAACATCAGTGTCGAAACAGCGTATGTTCCAAATACCTGGTCGATACATACTGGTTGGCGCAAAAGAAATCCTGCTAGATCAAACAATACCGTTGCATATTTGCAATGACTTGTTTCGTCCAGCAATACTTATGTGGTCGATATATAGCCGACGAATGTACAAGGATAATAGAATATTTGCAGCGATTTCATGACCTTAGGAATCATAAGGGCATGTTTCGATACATAGCCGTCGCCAAATGATTTGTTATGTTTTCCTATATATAACGCTACTTGCACTTGTATTAAAGTTTCCTTCAAATTGTTTTCATATAGAAAGCAAGGTGAAGCTTACATTTATTTTACTAAATTTAGACTAAGCTCCTTTCAAACACAGAGGCGTGAACGGAAGAAGGCACGTACCAATCTTGAAATAGTTAAACACAATGCCAAGTTTCACATAGGTGGCAAATATGACCGATATCTGACGAGTAAAACGTCATATATATATTGGGCCAATTTAAAGGACAAACTAGTTTACCACCATTAAATTAAAAGAAAATATCCCGGAGTATCACAGTCATCTGATGTTGGCATTTTGGAATGCTATAAATAATTTACGGTGTTTAAAAACTCTTCACATGTTCCGTTTGAGATGGTTCGGTTGATTTTGTAATAAGCGTCAAAATCTGTAAAATGAAAAACAAGGATAAGCCGAACATTTGATCTGTCGTTCGCATTATTTGTAACAGATGATAGGCAAGTATATCGCAGGCAATTGATGGCTTATCCTGAATCTGACTGAAATCCACATATGAGTAGAAATGACTAAACGTATATGGCAGAATATGCAGCATAATCTGACAATACATTAAGAAGCACAACTTATAAATAAGAATATCAAAAGAAGAAGAGCGTGGGATCAGCATGTCATTTCGTGCATAATCATCGGCCACGCACATACAACTAACATGGGAGGCAAACAATGTCACATGAACTGCTTTCCGATTGGTGCGTTACACGTTTCTATTCACCGGGTACAAACGTAACATGTTCCTACAGTTTGTGGTTAAATTTGGAAATTGTTCCTGTTACGAAATACCAGAATTCTGGCACTGCGTCCAATATAGCAGTCTCTACAGCTGCATTTATATTATTAAAAGCAGTGTGACGTGCGTTGTTTCAATAACGGTGTCATAATTGAACACAACATAAGCGGGCATGTGGTCTCGATAAAGCGCATCTGTGCTGCATGTAATGACTTTCTCATTTAGGCACGTTGCCTTGAGGCTCAATGAAATCTGCTTGAAGTAAATATTAACCAATCCGTGTCCCATTTCTCTAGACTGATCGTTGTGTCGAGCTCTCTTGCTGTCGTGTGAGCAATAAGTTGAAGTTGGGGAGACAACGGTCTTTCTTATTTCTACAGGTCACATTAAGATAGCGGTGCGCACCACTAAGCGCATTGGTAGCAGGTGCGATGTCTTTCTCCGAATCCAAGACTAAGAGTCTTTCCTTGTTGGCTGAATGCACGTGGCCATCCAGGATTTATGAAAATGATAGTGTCCTCCCACTACGTATTCCTAATATTCCTATAGGAGTTATGAAGAGAATTTCGTGCTTTGATATGTGAGTTATTTTGTGAGGAGCACGTTGGAAGGCAAGTTGCAACCGAATTTAATTAAAGCCGGCCATTTGCTTTAAAGTCGCAAATTGCCTTGTAATAATGAGGTCTCGGTTTCAAGGTTATGTAAGTGGCCGTAAGATCCTCGCAGTTTCCTTAACCCACGCACAACTGGTGTTGGTTACGTGGCAGCGAAGCGTCGGTTGTAAGCACATGCGTATTGCAGATACCTTGTTTAGCTTCAAGTTCAAATGGGAGTGCTAATGATACTCCCACATACTTGCATTTTGCTGCCTTGGTGGGGGACGTTTCTTGTGGTGAAACATCGCTTCATTAATATGGTTATTAATCGTACAAGCAAAACTAGTTGAAATTTTAAACGCACAATGTTACATCAGCAGCAGGTCGGAAATCGTCTGCAGTAATAAAAGTGGCAAGATATCGTTTAAGCTCGTACGAAAAATTTATATTTATGTGGAAGTAGTAGGGGGATTTATTGCGTTTTTGTGTAGGTTCCTCGCAGTTAGGCGTAAACAGACAGTTGCCACACATCCAGGCGAGCGTTAGACAGAACTTTCGTCCTATTTAAGCTCGTCGGTAGTTCGCACCCGCCGAATCCTGCCGGATTCGATCCCACGACCTGACTCCTGCGAGTCAGCGACTTATATCTCTGAGCCATGGGCGACGGCAACGGAACAACATGAGTGATATCTAACTGCGATATAACGCGGCTCATCCTCCACTGTCTTGTATGCTATGTATGTGCAGAGGACAGGGCTGGCCCCCAGAGCAACGACTTATTTTGCAAGCCGCCAGGAATGGAGGTTGCACGTAAGCTGTTTAGTCGACTACTGATCAGTTGTAAGTAGTAGTGAAAATTATTAGGTTGTTTGTAGGTTCGTCTGTGTCTAACTGCCACGAATTTACAGATAAACCTAATTAATCCTCCTATTACTTACAACTAATCATTAGTAGTCTTCGCAGCTTATATGCCACCTCGATTGGTGGCGGCCTGCAAAGCAACTCGTTGCCCTGGTGGCCAGTCCTGTCCTCTGCACATTCATAACTCGCACGTCAGTTGAGGATGAGCCGCGCTATATGGCAGTCAGGTATCGGGCATGGCTGTCTGCTGCCATCGCCCATGACTCAGTGACATACGTTGCAGATTATCATGAGTAAGGTCGTAGGATGGAACCACGCACTACTGATGAGTCCCAATAGGACGAAACGGCCGTCTGGCTTTTCCTGGATATGTGTTAGCTGTCTGTTTGTGTCTAACTGTGACGAACCTACACACAAGATTGCGGTGTATCTTTTTTCTAGGTATTATGTTTTAGTATGATTATAGCGGCTATTCCTGCGAGTATTAAAGCTTCCATTCCACATAGTATCCGACCTCTTTGGGTAGCTGTAACAACCGGCTTCACTACAAACTGAGGTGGTTCACAAGCTAATTTATTAACGGATTTCACATTTCCTGAGCATTGTGATGATACCATCCAACCATATATGAATTATCTCTTTTGCGTTTTATTCAGCAATCAGGCTATTACGAATATCGTACTGGTTGATCAAAGAATCCTCCGAAATTGTCTAAAGGGGGCACAGGAAGACATTTTTCTGTATAGTACTCATTATGGAATCTTTAGACTGATAGCATAATAAGAATAAGCTAGTGTATTTCACTAGTTGGATACAGTTGTTTACAACTTCATTTTACAATGAAACACTGTGAGTCTAAAAGAGTTCTGGTAACTGGAGGAGACACACGTTACAAAAGTGCTCACTTACATATTCCGTAGAATCGCATACCTTTGAAATGATAAAACTTTCTGATAAAAAACCAGAATCGAAATGAATATCTCATAGCACGCATTTTGTTCATGTAAATAACTACATAAGTATTATTAAATATCGGAGGAGAACCGCGGTTTGCGCCGTAGTATGTGCGCAGCTCATTTTGCCCATGGATCGTTGAAGCATCTAATCAGGAGTTCCTGACGGATTGTATACCCGCTACTGCCGTGGGCTGATGTCTGGACACTTCCGTTTTGCGTTGATATTTTACACTAATATCTTTTGTTATCATATGCAATTGCGCCGAAAGCCTTGGGTAGTCACATTCGGGGTACGCTACAATCCAACGAAAGGACGCTTTGTCTTGCAGCAAAATATCCATACGCATGTGTACTGACGGAACACTCGACAGTCATGTGAGCCGCAGTAGTTTTATCCCTTCATGGTTATTGATTTGGATTGCTGGTTAGGCTCAAATATAATCATAAATAAAAGGACCAAATTGATTGTCAATTTACTTGTAAAATATATGACTCACTGCCTGGGGTTAAGCTGTACATTACTGTTGGTTGGATCAATGTTAGATATTTCGCAGCAAACTATCGCGTTTGCACTTATAATACTAATTATTATATATTCGTTTCAGAATTTACTCACGACCTCAACGTGGACGTCCAATAATCGATCGATGAGCGCCCCATATGATGCCGGACAAGACATGGTATGGTAACGGTAATTAAGCAGTCAAATCAATTCCTTTCCAAACTGACCCATATTAGTTACATTAATATTTGATTGTACTCCGTTATTAATGGCCACAATATAGTTCTCTGATAAACTTTAGTCATTTAATTCAGAGTAAAAGCCGGTTGAATAAAAACATCCGTATGAGTTGTTACATACATGGTAATGCAAATGGAAATCATAGCATCTATAAGCGGAAGTGTTATACTCAGCAAATATCGTTACGCTGACTTTGCAAGCATGCTGTGATGGTGGCTGAAACCTGGGGTGAAGGGAATCATCTCGATAACGATGGAACGCAGGCCAATTAGACGAAGGTAAGACGCGGGTGATTGGTCCGAGTCAGCATACAACAAATTCAACACGATTTGCGGCGTCTAAAGAGAAGATTCCCCAGCTGTATGACAAGTTTTCAGTTTACGCAGGAGTCCAGGTTAAGGACACGCGACCGCCTTGACATCTATCCGACCGAGAAAGCATCATCTTGATAGACGCCACCAAGCAGTCTATCGGCAATGACAACAACGCGGCTCGACGTAAACCTGAGTTTCGTAAATGTCATTCGTTTCGACTGAGGCACAATCACTAACCAAAAGAATTGAGCGAACATCACAGGCTGGTTAACAAGTAACAGCCAATTAGCCGACGACAGCTGAATACCATGTGCACTGACTCGTTTCATCCAGCAAGGATTAAGTCATTGCAGAAATTCCTAGGTCTTGGGGCTAGCTGCTATCCAATGCACAGCTAATAATTATAATGACATTGGAAGATAAGCCGGCGTTAGTATAATTAAATGTCATTCATACAGGTCCGCGGATGTCAAGAGGTCGAAGTAACACTAGCTACTTATATCCGGAATTCATGGGGGCAGGAGATGGCAGGAATCTGGAGAAAGGCGCACAACAGATAAGACACAAAGGTCGAAAAACCGTGGTTTGGTGTTTTAGAGATATGCTAAAGCCTCCTCTCTGAGAGTGAACCATAATAAATTAAATAAATTGAAAATCTCCATTTGTGCAAATGAGAACAAAGAGACCACTTGGTGAGCAATTGCTTTCGATGATTCATCCTCAGACCGATACAATCATATATAGGGCTAAAAAAGTAAAATCGACATAGTTGATATAATTAACATAGGGTAAACATCGAAAACGGGTTAATTAAAAGTTACCGGTTTCCAGACCTCACTCCATTGATCTCATTATCATCCGCTTTTGCGGGCCAGGGAAGCTGAACAGCCTTAACTAACTTCCGTTGCGAGAATAACGATGGTCGGAATGATCGAATACAAATCGATTCGGCCGTTGCGAGTGTACGGAGACGTTGACCCTTTGACCGGGGTGGTGGAACTCTTTATACTACTCTAAAGTTACGCTCTAGATCCACTCGATGTCCGCTGTCGACAATTTGAGCCAGGATAGGGCTACTAATGGCTCCAGTGCCACCTCGATGTAGCCAACGCGGACAGTGTTCGTTCATGCGTTCGGACAGGTGCCGCGCCGTTCGACCGATATACTATGCGCCACAAGCGCTTTCAAACTGATAGATAACCATTGAGGCGGTCAGCATCGGCAACTTATCCTTGGTTCGCGAACGAACGAGTGGTTCCGTTGTAAACATACATTTAAAAGTAGCTGCGGCGAAAGTTGATTTAATCGCATCAACAAGACTTCGAGTTAAACGTTCTGTAGCCGCGTCCCCTTGGAAAGGCAGGCGTATGAAGAGTTCCTTCTGTGCCACTGTTAACAATGCTACCGGCTTTGGCTTTTCTTCAAGTTTTCTTAAAATAAATCTGTCGGGGTAATCATTTTCGCGTAACACATTCTGTATAAACGTCAACTCCTCGTCTAAAGTGTCTTCAGAGCATATTCGACGTGCTCTCGATGTAAGACAACGAATCAAGTTGCGCTTGTATCTCAGGGGGACAAAGCTGTGAAAATTCGTATATTGACCAACCCATGTTGTCTTCCTTTAGATCTGCCGCTGGATGGAGCCATCTCGCAGTCTAGTTAACAGAACATCGAGGTAAGGCAGCTGATTTTCCGTTTCTCTTTCGTACGTAAAACGTACTGATGCATGGGCTCGGTTAAAACGGTTAAGAAATTCATCTAAGTTAAAATCCTCATCCATCACAACGATTGTATCGTCCATGTAACGATAGTAGTGGCTAAAAGTGGCTATATCCGCCTGCAGTGCGGTTCTTTCCAACTTTGCCATGAAGATGTCCGCCAATATTGGACCCAAGGGAGAGCGCATGGCTACGCCATCACTCTGCCGGCAATTGCTCACCAAGTGGTCTCTTTGTTCTCATTTGCACAAATGGGGATTTTTAAGTTACTTTTATCTTCCAAGCCCCGATCAGTGGTGAAGGAGCTAAATCAGTTCCTCAGATTCTCCACTAAGCTTGCCGAAGCCAAATGCTGCGTTCAATTCTTCGATGATTGTGTTGCGCGTAATGAATACTCCGTCAGATTTTGGAAGCAATTGCGGCGTAATCGGATTTATCCTAATAGCAAGACGCTCAGGCGGCACGTATGAAACCAACGTGACACGATTCCGTCCAAGGTTGTTGAATTCGAAAGAAATCTAGCACAGCGCCGCGCCATAACAGATCAATTAGCTGGGGACGTAAAGAAAATGTTCTTGGATTACGTTGAGCATATTGCTACAGGCCGTGTGCAACGGAAGCGTTCTTCTCTAGCACAGTCGCTGAGCCAGATCAAGCCGCAAGCCACATTTCCAGGCAAGCCAGTAAGGTATGTGCACAATTATTCCAGTTTGAAAATGGATAAAACCTTGATTGAAGTTCTATCACTTGGCCTAAACTTTTGCGTAACTAGACATAGAGACAATCAGCTTGAATATGAGATAAAATTTGAAATTTTATACGACCAGACGAACGGGTTAATCACTAAGGCAAACACTGATTTAGAACGTCTTAGTTGTATTTTGGTAACTTGCTGCTACCAATATTGCAAACATCGCGTCTATAACCACGGCCCACTAACACGAAAACATCTAGATGCGTTGGAGGAACTAAAACGTAATGAGGACGTCACCGTGTGTAGACCAGACAAAGGTGCGGGGATTGTGCTATTAGATAGAAAAGACTAGATAAGTAAACTGGCAGCTATACTGAACGATGAGACCAAGTTTTCTTGCAGCACAGAAATGGACTGCACGGAAAAAGTTGAAACTCAGATCACTAAGAGCCCGCAAGAACTTAGGACTAAAGGGTACATTTCGGATGTCCTGTATGACAGCCTCAGACCTAGTGGCACAAAAGTTCCAAGGCTCTACGGTTTGCCTACATTTCACAAAGCAAACATTCCACTCCGTCCCATTTTATCAATGGTTAACTCACCTTACCTTACGGTCGCTCAGTGGCTTGTGGAAATACCTTAACCGGTGCGACAACAGCTAAAAAATTACTGTCTACGCGACAGCTTCCGATTCATAAAATGTACACGTAATGCTAAAATCGACGGCAACGTGATGCTCTCCTTCGACGTTGTATCGTTCTTTACCAACGTCCCGATAATTGAGAAAATAGATTACATTTGCGACTATATAACCTAGTCAGCAACGAAAGTATGTGTACATACTCGTGAGCTAGAAGTTTACTGTTGAGCTGTACCTGGAATGTGCACTACCTGTTTAACGGCAAGTACTACCGGCAGAATGATGGCGTAGCCATGCGCTCTCCCTTGGGTCCAATATTGGCGGACATCTTCATGGCAAAGTTGGAAAGAACCGCACTGCAGGCGGATATAGCCACTTTTAGCCACTACTTTCGTTACATGGACGACATAATCGTTGTGATGGATGAGGATTTTAACTTAGATGAATTTCTTAACCGTTTTAACCGAGCCCATGCATCAGTACGTTTTACGTACGAAAAAGAAACGGAAAATCAGCTGCCTTATCTCGATGTTCTGTTAACTAGACGGCGAGATGGCTCCATCCAGCGGCAGATCTAAAGGAAGACAACATGGGTTGGTCAATATACGAATTTTCACAGCTTTGTCCCCCTGAGATACAAGCGCAACTTGACTCGTTGTCTTACATCGAGAGCACGTCGAACATGCTCTGAAGACACTTTAGACGAGGAGTTGACATTTATACAGAATGTGTTGCGCGAAAATGGTTACCCCGACAGATTTATTTTAAGAAACCTTGAAGAAAAGCCAAAGCCGGTAGCATTGTTAACAGTGGCACAGAAGGAACGAACTCTTCATACGCCTGCCTTTCCAAGGGGACGCGGCTATAGAACGTTTAACTAGAAGTCTTGTTGATGCGATTAAATCAACTTTCGCCGCAGCTACGCTTAAATGTATGTTTACAACGGAACTACTCGTTCGTTCGCGAACCAAGGATAAGTTGCCGATGCTGACCGCCTCAATAATTATCTATCAGTTTGAAAGCGCTTGTGGCGCATAGTATATCGGTCGAACGGCGCGGCACCTGTCCAAACGCATGAACGAACACTGTCCGCGTTGGCTACATCGAGGTGGCACTGGAGCCATTAGTAGCCCTATCCTGGCTCAGATTGTCGACAGCGGATATCAAGTGGATCTAGAGCGTAACTTTAGAGTAGTATAAAGAGTTCCGCCACCCCGGTCAAAGGGTCAACGTCTCCGTACACTCGCAACGGCCGAATGGATTCGTATTCGATCATTCCGACCATCGTTATTCTCGCAACAGAAGTTAGTTAAGGCTGTTCAGCTTCCCTGGCCCGCAAAAGCGGATGATAATGAGGTCAATGGCGTGAGGTCTGGAAACCGGTAACTTTTAATTAACCCGTTTTCTATGTTTACCCTATGTTAATTATATCAACTATGTTGATGTTACTTTTTTAGCCCTATATATGATTGTATCGGTCTGAGGATGAACCATCTAAAGCAATTGCTCACCAAGCGGTCTCTTTGTTCTCATTTGCATAATAAATTACTTGAATCGGAATGTAACTCAACTGAATATTGGCCAGTCCGTGTATTTTAACCGATTCCGTTACCTCACTCCTCCATTGGTTGTCTGGCTCGCTCTGGTCGTTCTCCGTTTTCTCTGAAATGATTCTCTTAGCATATCTTCACTTTTCTTTTCCTCGCAATTTCACATTTTTACCTACCTCTAAACGCTGCCACCTTGCGTCATCCTCGCCGTATCTGCAACTATTTTCTCCTTGCTCCAAGCGAGAGAGCGCACAAGTCCCAATTTACATTGTTGTCACCATACTCTTTCAAATGCACTCGGTTACACTTAAAAGTCTTCCCTAAAATGTTATTTCATGTGACCCTTCACCATGTAACCCTACTACCATGGTAATTTTCCTCCGTTTGTGACTTTTATTTGTTGGCATAACCCAAACTTTCCCCATTTTTGCTCAGGTAATACACCTGCACCGCAGTCGTATTACCGTTTCTGGGTCAATTTTCGTCTTCTCAGGCTGTTCTCTGCTCGCTCGTGCTGTTGCACATTAAGACGCAAAAGTGTGGCGGATACGCGCAACATAGTTCCAGTCATTTGCCTGTAAATTTGGGAATGGTAAGTTGGTGACCGTCTTAGGGGACTTGCTCTACAGTTATTCCGCCCGCGCCAACTGACATCTAAGCTTGTAAATTATCGCTTTTTTGTCGTACTGGTGAGTAAATCGTTTTTAAATATAGCACTTTTGTAATATACCGTGAGTAAGTAATCTTTCTAGTTGTCACTGAATAAATCCACCGCCACGTTTCGGCATCGTCAATCAGGGGCACCACATGATATCTTTGGTTATATCACCTGTCGGCTTTCGTGTAAACGGCGTACGCAACGCTGTAATAAAAGGTGGAACTAAGCGTCATGATGTTCCTGCTTTGAGCCGTAGAACATGTTATCGTCTGCCACAAATATTACACCGTATACATCGTCCACCGCTTGAACCAATCGTATTTGAGAAATTGCAGTCGAAACCTTCAACTCAGATTGTAAACGCACACGATAAAAATACACAAACGATAAGGCAAATTAAGTGGGTAACTGGACTCTTTATTTAGATCCACATACTAATTTACTCAGTTTAGAAACGGTCACGCAGACCAAATAGAACTCTCTTAGTCGATAGCGTACTCAGTCGTAAAAATTATCTAAAAATAAGTGCACTGTTCCTTCGCATTTTCCCAAATATGCGGTACACACGGACGGATGCGGGTCACTAAATGCCCTTTCTCCGTGATAAGCTTGCAGGAAACGATCACTTTTAAAATTTGCAAACTCGAGACAAGGTATGTGATCAATGCCAAGAATTCTTGTTAGCACCTCCTGCAAAACGACAAACTTCAGCGGATGTGAAAATCCGTCTCTTGATTTAATCAGTTTGATTTTACCTGAACCCTGCGGATTAAGCTTAGAACCATTCCACATCCACAGACAATTCTGCTGAGATCGGATGCACACTCCGAGACAGTGCTTCTGGGATAGAATATTGGCAGTAGCCCCGTGTCTAGCTGGAATCGTGTGGTTTTGCCTTTGCGTAGACAAAGTGTTGTGGTACCCCCGATTGATGTTGCGAAATGTATGTTCTACCTCTGTATCGACTTTTTGAGCCCAACAGCACTTACATTGTTTGATTGGCAACAACTAGTACAGAGGTTCAGTTTACCAAATTTAAGGCTTCTCCGTCCCAGCGCCGAAAACTGTTCAAGGTTTATTCTTTGTCGCGCAACTCAAATTTTGACAGAACTATTTTCCCACCTTTGTAGCCTACGTCGTCTTTACTGCGGGAATGGCATCTACTTCTTTGTTAGTTGTGCGTTTCTTTTGTTGGTATTAGTGGGTCAACGAGGACACCATTGTAAATATCGATGCCATGATGTAGCGATACTGTGCGTTGTGCAGTAGCCAGTATATCGTACATTCGTCTGTGGTCCTTAAATGATCCGATCGTGTATGTGGCTGTCACCAACGTTTTTGTATAAAATGAGGACAGGAGCTTAACATTTCGCTCACTGCTGTACTAGGCGACGGAGTAATTAAGGCCTCTGCTGCACGTAAAGATAAGTTAACACTTATATATATCAGTGGTTTGGCATTCTCAAACTACAAGGAAATTTTCACTGACTGTCTAAACCAATGAGACCTTTGTCTGTCATAGAGTAATGTGTCGAAGAAACGGTGCGCGTTGTCCCAGGCTGCATGTCCAAATATCTTCAAAAATACTCCATCGGTTACTTTTCCAAACGTCCTAGTTAACATATCCATCGACAACTTTTTCAAGATGACTGCATGGAACCAATGGAAACGAAGTAGAAACTGGAACGCGTCGAATAACGATAGCAAACGTACCTTCTTGACTGTACCACTTAATTTCTTCCACTTTTGCTTCTCTCATAAACGGCAATTCTACGAGATGTTCCAGCTTGTTTAGTGCCTCCATTTGAAAGTCAGGGTAGCCCCATGGTGCGTAGCCGTGTTCCTTTAAATCAATTGTGAAGCGATATTTGCCATAAGATGATCGTTCTTGCTCCATTAATACATTAATTTCAGAATTCGGGAGCACTCGTTTTACCTAAAAATTGATCGTGTTTGTATTACTTTGCATAAATATATTTTCTATGGTTTATATGGCATAAACAATGAGGATCATTTTACTAAACTAAACCTCAATCCAAGCACTCAATGATTACGAACTTGTGTTACGTCACTGTTGACAATATACAATACAACTGCTGATATAACTATGAATGAGAAGAGGAAATGCAAGGTGCACTGCAAGCATTACTATACGAAGAAGCAACAGGCGCACGTAAGAAAAATTATTTTTCTTCTAGACAACGATGCCTGATGGCTGACCAAACTAATCAGGCGTTTGTGTGAACGTAGTGTGAACTACGCATCGCGCATATCTTTTACATTCAACTATAAATATTTTGCATATACACCTTAAGTAAATGTATAAAAGTTTGACTGTTGTTTGTTAAAATACAGATTACTTCGTTTTTGAATCCATTTTCGTCTTCTTCCCATGAAGGCAGAACAACGACGAATCCTAATGTAAAATTTGGAAAGCGAACATATTGCAAAATGATCAACAAGTTTGCTAAAATAGCACTGACAAGTTATCTGCAAATCATTTTCTGCGAAGAAATGCCTGCCATTATTTGACAATTATTTAACCAACTAGTCTTCATGTATACGAATGCATACGATCTTTCAACAAACTGGTTGAACTGAAAGATCGGCAAGCTTTAGGGTTCTATAATATTATCGGTAGTACTGAGACATGATTGAACACTGGAATTAAGGACGCTAAATATTCGTTACTGGGCATGTCGCTCATCGGGAATGATAAGCTCACAAATGGAGATGAATTAAATCTGTATTACAGAAGCTAATTGTATTATGGCCGTAAATATTCGCACTCGCATTTCCCCTACTCCCATTGATGCAGCTTAAAGTTAAAAGGCAGAGACACTTGCCTTATTTCCTTGTTATAACGCTCCCATTACTGTACACCCGAATCCGAACGCCACATAACGGCTGCTTTAAGACCAACCCAAAAAGGATTATACATTCACATCCGTACCATTGGTGTTTTTAAGTTACTATTTTCAGAAATCAATGTTACAATCATAGAAGAATTCAATGAAGTGTATAACGGATCGTAACAACTGCTCCTTTTACAATCACAGCACTTTGCTTAATTGATTCAGGACAGCTAACAAGCCATCTGTGTTGGACCTTGTACTTACCAACGAAGAGCACACGATTGTTGTGAGGTCTGCAAACCGTCCGTTGGGACGTAGACTTCACACAGTCATTGTTTTGACATATTGCTGCTGTGCAGAATATCGGAATGCTAACTAGGAGACCGTGCGAAACATCACAAGCTACGGCGGAGTAGCCCAGCTCTTCAGCGCTAAAATCTGATCGTTCCTTGTCAAATAACTGTCTGAAGTCGCGGGGCTAGATTTCGTTCACCAAGTCAGTCGGCTGCTTGCAGATGCTTCAGCTACAAGAGTTTATAAAATGTTTGAATCAGTTTGTATCATTAGGAGCAGAACTGAAAAAGGAGGGCGTTGTGTAACGCAGACTCGCGAGGGTGTAAAGAATCTGCAGAGACAGACGTCTGGGGCGTTACGTAGCCCATCGTAACCACTGCATTCAACTACTCAGAGTAAACGATGCCGCATATAATCATAACATCGCATAAACCTTCAGTGCTATCCACCAACTGCTGTACAATATACAAATGGCCAACGAAAGGAGAGTAAAACGTTTCCTCCATTCAGTACGGCCGATGGACCAACAAGGACGGCTATGGAAGCAGCAAATTGCTGCGGATGCCGTATGCATCCACGTTTCAGAGGGTCTTGCCACCAAGCGGCGTATAGCATTTATAATCTCGCTGCCAGGATTAACCTACATCTCTCTTACCTCGGAGGCTATAATGCTAAAGATGACATCTCTAGAAAACATTGCCGCGCAGATGCTGATACCATTTGTAAAGAGACACTGGAAGCAGCAAGCAAACTTTTGGGATATTTAGCTTAATTTTCCAGCGTCACTTAGGGCAGATCCTGGATCCTGCCATTTACAAGCTACGAATAATAAACTCTAATTCACAAATGTGGAATCAATCCTGATCCCTCCAACATTCGCCTATTATCCTCTATCCCTATACTATCTAAGTTCATGAATACATCTTTGCCGAAACACTGGTGTGTTATTTGGAAAACTGCAACATCAGCACGAGAGAGCAGCACGGCTTCCGTCGAGGGCCATCCTGCACAACAAATGTTCTAATGGCACGCATTGGTTGGATCGAATCAGTTGATGCTGGAGAAGGAATTGATGTGATCTCTCTGGATTTTTCAATGGTTTTTGATATTTAGACATGCCATTCTTAAAGAGAGCCATAGATAATTCCCGGCGGTCTAAGCTGAGAAAATATTTAGAGGAGCCAAGGGGGACCATAGGGGGCCATGCGGGGATTGATGAGTTGTTCTAATACAAACAACCAAATTCCATTTAACAATTTTCTAACAGTTTCTACGAGCACTAATCTCCCCTAGTCAATGAAAAGGATAACGCAAATGGCTGTTTACGTAGAGAATAAAAGCAAACCGGGCAGACTTTCTGTTTTCCAGCTTACGTATCTTCGTCAGACTTGCGCAGAAGTTGCCGGTCTCGCCCCAAGGATACAATCATTATTCCGTGACTTAGATTGCGCAACTAACCACTAATATTTCCTCAGGAAGTTGTTGCCTATCTACAGTGAACCAACTAATCTTTAATCAGGACACGTGTGCATCTACTAAACAAGCTGCAGTTAACCTAACGAAGGCTCGTCAAAACACTACGGCAGTTACTGCACAAAGCCGCACTGACACCAACTGAATTTTCCATATGACAACCACATTGTGACAACCCGTTTGCTGCTCAGTCCTTCTCTTTCTGATCCTAGTACTGTAGCGCTAGGTCATGCGCTTTTTCTAAAGTCTCAGCTCGCGTCTACGTCTTGGGCTACGTCACGTTAATCCGAAAAGTTCAAAACTCGAGTAGATGCCATTTGCGCTATTTCTGTTGAATGCTCATTCCTTCCGTCTAAGAGGCGAAAAAGCTAGGAAGCGTTAAAGAGCTAAGTTAAAGTCTTCGAAGTAGCGAGCACTTTTTCTACTGACATCACAATAGAAGTCCGGTTTCTTAGATAATTATAATGTTTGCAGAAGTTTACCTCTTTTAATACTCTAAATATTAAATGTTTGACAGCACGCTTTGGGCCTCTTGTTTGGCACGGACCGATATAATTTATTAGTTATGTTGTGAATTCTCCCGTGCAGGTTTCTTGAACTATCCGGCATTTTGGACCGCGTTCGTTTCTTCTGCCGTTCACTTTACAAGTTGTCCGCTTGCGATCTAACTTTCCTTAAAAAATATGCGTCCAGCGGAATTATGATACTAATGTACTTTTTGTTTTCTTTCTTGATTGGCTTTTGCCACAAAATTTTCTTCATTATTTTTCGTTATCCACAGTATTTTCGGTCATCCTCAGAAACCACTTTCAGGTTGCCTCTAACAGCAATTCCACAGTTTTACATTTCTAGTTGTAGCCAACTACATACGTTAAAATTATTCTTATCAAATATCTTGTATTAAAATATCACAGTCAGGAACTAATAAATTAAACCTACCATATTCGTCCAATTTTTTTCTATTCCTGATTTGTACTTAATACCTAATATTTATACATAACTTTATAGTAAAATTTTGTATTATAAATAAGGTTTAATATTTAATATGTATTCCTTACTGGTTTTTAGTTTTTAATTAATATTTATAAGGTAATACGCATGATAAATTTTCTATAAATATAACAGAAAGCAGTATGTAAATGTATAGGCAGAGATACACCCCTAATGTTTGTATGAATCCCCTACTCAGTAGTAATTATTCCCGGGTTTCAGCCGCTTCGTAAGTTGTTTTATATAATGCATATCTAGCAGGTAAATTACCTGTTCTAATGGTCTTGCTTGCTAACGCGTAACTTGTGACAAAGCGATGTGCTCATGCACATAATCGGGCGTAATGTCTTTCCTACCTTGTGCAAATAGAGCGAGTCCCGCACCTGCGTGCCTGCATGTCATTCCATTTAAATTGCTAGTATTACAACTTATTGACGTAACCACGTAGCAGGATGAGCAAGAGTATCCTTGCCTTACTTTGCACTATCAAAATCACTATCGCATTGCTGAAACTTCTTCCTGTCTCCCGGAATTTTCCCAGAATTTTTGAAACAGCCAATCTGGTTCATTAAAACATATCCGTTTCTTTATTTAGGCCTTGTTAATTAGGGACCAGTAGCCTGCGCTAACCGCACAGAGTCTCTTGATGTAATGAATTCGGTTACCTTGCTCTTGATTGTGACATCTTGTTTCCTTTCGATCGTTTTTTCAATTTATATGAGTCATCGTGTGTTTGTTCTCATGTCGAGTTTGTGAAGTAATCTAACAATCAAAACGTTGAATTATCTCATCTGGTGTCGTTTGTCGCCTTGACAATATGAATGCATCACAATTATGTTAACCCTTATTGGATACATCATGTAGCTCATAATATTTAACTGATTGGATGCAACATGCAGTTTTATAAAGCATTAGGCTGTATAAGCATAATAGTCACAAGTAACACTTGAGTCTTCGCATCTAAACTCAAGCGGACAGTCAGCATACATCCAGGAAAGTAATAGACGGTCTTTTCTTCCCATTGGGACCTGCTGGTATTCTACACCCACTGAATCCTGCCGAATTCGAACTCACAACATTATTCTAGCAAGCCACCGACTTCTGCTACTCAGACACAGACGACAGCAGCGGACTACCAAGACTGAAATGTAACGGCGATATGCTGCACATCCTCATGCACTGTCATGCATGTTATGAATTTGCAGTGAAAGTTTCGGCCTCCAGAATTATGACTTCGTTTGCAAGTCGCCAGCAATCGCGGCCGTATGTAAGATGCTAAGTCGACTACTGATTTGAGGTTTGGCTGGGTTTTACTGTGAGAAACCTTCACAAAATACCCATGAATCCCCATTTTACTTGAAGGTATTAGACTCAACGGCGTTCAAATTTTCGTGTGAAAATTTATAAATGCATTTCTCATTTTGGACTTGAAATTATACGTGGTCAATTGCAGCAGTAGCATCAACTTAAAACATTTCGTTTGCGTATCCGTTGCTAGATAGAGTACACAACATGTGTTACATTATCAATGCTGATGTCAAAACGGGTTTTTAGTCTGGCAATACCACTATGCAAGCAGCGGTTTTATTCTCTTAAGGCTAAAGACGGCGACGAACAGAAGAATAAGTGAGCTTACTACATCCGAATATAATCAAATAATATATAAACTGGAATTGGTGATCTTAGTTTTGTTAGATCTTCACTTTTTTCGCTATTCCGAATTAACCACCCAGAAATTTCTCGCAAAAGTTCTAGCCCAGTACATTAATCATTGCCGATAGGAGAAATTACCAGGAAGCTAAAGCAGCAGTTTGTCGCCTTGTTTGAAGATGGTCTCGGCCACTGCACTAACTTCAAAGCAAAGATGTGTCTTCGTGAAGGAACCAAGCCAGTCTTTAGAGCAATAAGCGGTACCGTATGAATTGATGACAGCAGTTGATCAGGAGCTCGACCGACTGGAACGAGCCGGTGTCATCACCCCAGTGAACTACTCTTCATGAGCTGCGCCGATCGTGGTTGTGAGAACGCTGAACGGTAAAGTGCGAGTTTGCGCCAATTTTTCGACTGGCCTGAATGCCGCATTGGACGACCATCAATGCCCCCTTCCGATACCAGAGGATATCTTTGCCAAGCTGAGTGGTGGGAAGTGTTTCGCCAAGCTCGACTTGTCCGATGCCTAACTCCAGGTTGAGGTTGATGAATGCTCAAGAGAATTGCTGACCACCAACTCTTATGGTGGCTTGTACCAGTACAACCACCTCCCTTTTGGCGTGAAAACAGCACCAGCCATCTTCCAGCAGCTGATGGACACCATGCTCGCGGGAGTTTCTGGAGCCGCGGCGTACCTGGATGATATCATTTTAATGGGTCGGACGGCAGAAGAACTATTTCAGCGGCTCGCTGAAGTGTATGAACGTATCCAGTCATATTGTTTACGTATCAGCGAAAACAAGTGTACCTTTTTTCACCAAACATCAAGTTTCTCGGTTTCATTCTCTCAAAAGACGGGCGTCACTCGGATCCACAAAGTATCCGAGCTATTCAAAAAATGCCCCCACCTGTGGACTTGCAGTCGCTGCGTTCAGTCATTACAGGGCTTTTCTGCCCAATCTACATCACCTGCGTACCCCGTTGAATAAGTTGCTGAGCAAGGGCCAAACCTGGAATTGGACGGCAGAATGCCAGACTGTGTTTGAAAGGGTCAAGTCATTGTTGGCTTCAGATTTACTCCTAACTCATTTTGATCCTTCCCGGGAAATTGTCCTTGCCACAGACGCATCGAGTCTTGAGATCGGTGCCGTAGTTTCCCATACGTTGCCAGATGGATCTCAGAAGGCGATCGCACATGCCGCCAGGACGCTAACAAAATCTGAAAGAAACTACAGTCAGCTCTAGATGGTGGCATTAGCCATAGTGTTTGCTGTGAAGAAATTTCACAAGATGTTGTATGGTCGCCGCTTCAAACTCTTGACGGATCACAAGCCGCTGCTGGCTATTTTCGGCTCGAAGAAGGGAATTCCTGCCTAAACAGCCAATCGACTCCAACGCTAGGCACTCACCTTGCTGGGCTATGATTTTGAAATCCTTTATCAGTCAACGAATTCGCTGGCCCAAGCAGATGAGTTATCACGCCTCAATGATTCCCAGCAGCAAGAACACGAAGACACCATACTTGCCTCAGTTGAGATCGAACCTGATGTCAACTTCCTGGTGAGCGAGACACTACATGGTATGCCAGTTACGGCCGATGCTGTGCGGACCGAAACGCTTCTAGACACAATCTTGAAGAAGGTGACACACTTCCACAGAACCAGCTGGCCACGTCCGTGTTCATCTACCAAAATGCAGCAGTTCTATCAGCGAAGATATTCGCTTTCCATTGTGGACGGTTGCATCATGTTCTCAGACAGAGTAGTCATCCCGCATGCGTTGCAACAAAGAGTGCTGCGACAGTTCCATGCAGGACATCCAAGGCTCAACCGAATGAAAGCGCTTGCCAGAAGTTATGTGTATTGACCGTTTATGGACAGGCAGCTTGAGCAGCTAGCTAAAAGTTGTGGCAAGTGCGCTACCGCCTCAAGGGTACCGCCGAAGACTAAACTCCGCTCATGGCCTAAACCAACTAAACCTTGGAGTCGTGTTAATGTCGACTTTGCAGACCCAATCAATGGTCAGAATTTTCTCATATAGGTCGACGCTTATAGCAAGTGGCCCGAAGTGTTCTTCATGAGAAGCACGAAAACCAGCGCAACCGTCTCTAGGTTGCGACAAATCTTCAGCAGGTTCGGCTGCCCTGAAACATTGGTGACGGACCATGGAGCACAGTTTACTTCGGCCACATTCAAGGAATTCTGCCAACGTTGCGCCATCAAACACGTGCGGTCTCCACCATTCCACCCACAATCGAATGGCCAAGCGGAGAGGTTTGTGGATACATTCAAACGCGCTCTCCTCAAATCAAGGAGGGAGCGAGACATAAAGAAGGTGATCGACCGTTTCATATTTCTGCATCGATCTACACAAAATTTACAAACACCGGGTGGAATATCATCAGCAGAGGCAATGATGAAGAGAAAACTTCGCATGCCATATGATGCAGTTCGGCCATCCTCAGAGTCCATGGCTGGCGAAAGGAACCTAAAGATGGAACGTGATTTTAATCGGCGGTTTGGTGCCAAGCAACGCTCGTTTAGACCGGGTCAGCCAGTACTTGTGCGTGATTCTCGGGGTGGACACGCGAAATGGACGCCAGGCACGCGCCAGCGCAAGCGCGGAAGCGTCATTTACGACGTGCTTGTTGGAACGCAGGTATGCGTACGCCATGCAAACCAACTGCGAACAACAACGTGTTGGTCACACCAACAGAATCCGCCAAGCTTCCACTTGACCTGTTGACAGACAGCTTCAACTCGCCTACAGAGCCAATAGAAGAACCAGTAGAAGAATAGTACCAGACTGCAGAGCACGGAATTCGAATCCAGAAAGCTACAGCCAAGGCGATGCACCGGTAGGCGAGGAATAACTTCCAGGAGGCTTCAGGTTATTCCCCGGCTAGCATCATACACAACGGCAGCAGCTTCAGGAGGGGAGGTATCCGGGAATCAGATTAAAAAAAACATAAAAAAGGGAAAATATATAATGATGATTGAAAGCTGGGCTGAAGGGAATCGCCTACCCCGTGCGGTCGATCAGGCAATCGATCGAGCGGACGAATGCGTTTTCAAACACCCGGCTATTTGGACTTTTGCCTCAGAGTTGAGAGGACAGCGTTTTCGGCGGCATTATCTGAATACGTTGGCAGAGTTTTTGTTAAAAAGTTTTTCGTTGTCAAGACTGTTGGAATTTTGATTTTCCTCCGGCTGGGCTAGAATTTTTGCGGAGAAATTTCTGGGTGGTTATTTCGGAATATCGAAAAAGTGAAGATCTAACAAGTTTAAACTATATTTAGCATCGCTTTTAATAACATAACAATGATGGCCATTACTATGTTAAACATGACGTGACTCATTTGCAAACAATCACAATTCTCTGCATGTCCTTAAAGCCTTTCTTAATAACACAGAATAAAAGCAGTAACACATGTAGGATTTGTTCATTTGTGAATGGAGAAGTCAATAACTAATCAGTTGACTTCAAATTCTAAGGTTGAAATTTTCTATTATCCTATATATAACTTTATATGATTGACGTTCATTACCACATATTTTCAACATCGAATAGGCTGGTGTGAACGTCATGCACGGGGTATAACAAGAAGAACAGGGACTGAAATTCACATATGATTAGTTACGCAACACCTTTAATAAATGCACCTTTCAGTGGTTGTTTTGATTGACAATTTATGTGAGACTCTCTAGCCATTAACTATTTAACCCTTATTTAAGGACAATATTTCTACAGGGTCTTCACCACGAAACTAACACCACAACCGAACTGTCAGTAATTATTAAGGTTAATTCAATTTGCTGTCGCTGTAACATCTGAGTAATGAAGTGCAGTGAGTTCGAACTTCGGACATTTAAAGTATGTAAACCTTGCTTAATAATCTGATGTTAACCGATTGCATTTAATTTGAGAATTGCGAGCTTCTGTCTTTCTATGCGTCATGGTAGCGAAACGATTACTGAGTAACAAAAATTAATGACTTACGAACGCTTCCCGTATTTACGCTTATGTCTGTAGAAAAGTCATGTAAAGTCATGTAAATGAATTTTACAACATCCAAATGCGTAAGTCATAGGCGATGAAAAATCCGACATCCAAATTGTGGTGCTATTTAACCACCAAATATATTAACACTAGCTAGGTGAAGGCGTCGCCAGTGTTAGTTTCATGTACACTTGCTTATTAACATATTAATTGTGAACCTAATGTTTCTATAGTCATATACTGAATACTAGGAAATTTCATATTCGCGAGTTCCGAGCTTGGATGGAACAAAGGCATCAGAAGCAAGGCGGTACACTTAACCCACGCTTCGCTGCCACGCGGTCACCGCAAGTTGAGAGCGAGAGGGATATATTACGGGACCGCTCACATTTACGCAGGTTCGAACCGGTGCTATTTTGTCACAGGTCAGTCGACTTCTCTCTCCGACCATTGAACGCCATGGATGTGACAAGCGGGAGTTTAGCAACTCCGCCAGTTACCAAGGCCAAACACAGACAAGGTTGAACAATTGTAACTTGAATGAGTCTCTACTATATTCCCAGCGCTGTTGAAATTGAGACATGCAAATAGCAGTATACAATTTTTCTAGCTTAGACCTGCAGTCTTCCCAACTTCAGATATCGCCTCGTTCTTCATCAGCTGTTCACCAGGAACGTTTTCTAAAATCACTTCTTCCAAGTTTATTTTATCTGTAACTAATGAGCTTTACAAGTTTAACTAACTGACCGGGTTTATGATTGACCTGACGGTTTGAAGCTAACAAGAGCGCAGGTAAGCTATGATATATACTTTAAGTCGAGCTCAACCGCGGTATGTTACTAAAAGTATTTCAACCAACAAACCCATGCGGATGTGCTTTGCTGAATCGGTCTTACAACCTGTCGAAGGACATTCATTTCGGAACTAAAATACGAAGTACAATGTGCCGAGTGACCAGCTGGTTCCTAAAGGAAAATACCGATTTCGGCCTTATTCTTTTAACTTTTTGTAGGATGATGCGCTTACAAACCCACTCACTGATTTGTTAAAGGCAAAACATCAACGCCCGATCCGCATAAGGTAGAATGTACAGCGGATCGTATCCTGGCAATTTCGGTATTGTTACCTAAATTTGAGATGAATGTGGTAGCTCCGTCAGGCAAGGATGAGCCTTGGGTTCGGTATATTATATTGTGCTCGAGAAAATCTGTTTGCCGCTTACCAATCCATTGTGTGGCCTGCATTTAGCGGCGCAAACGATTTACAAATTATGATATAAGCAATAGTGGATGGCAGGTTCCTTGAACTTGTGCAAATTCGTATATTCAAGCGATATTGTTTTACCAATTAGGCCACGGTTTTTACAAGTATTGAACGAAATCAATTTTGGTTAGCTAGCAGCAGGTTCCAATGCAAGCGATTATGGAGATGGATTGCTCTCTTATTATGCACCAAAATATTACACTGTCAACCACTGAATGGATGTGTGAACCTTGGATTACACAGTGTTATTTACTGTGATTACCAACTAGATGCAACGAGTAGGCTGTACGCTAGCACCCATATCGCTCTTTGATTAACGCGGACATTAATCACAGAATCAACCCATCGCTTTTAAACTTAATGTATTCAGTGTGAATCTTCACGAATGTATTCACATAACATGCGTTTTAGAGATTCAAAAAAAGCAATAACGCCAATCCAAATCAAGCATTCCGTTTCACAAAAGGAAGGCAAATGACTTTTCTATACTCTGAACCTAGTGGTTAAAAATGACACTGTGATCACTAAGGCTCTAATATTCTTGAGCAACGCTTGGCACATCGGTAAGTAATTTCAAGCTGGATTTATTGTACCCGCTGTGTGGCTGGATTGAGACAAGCAATCCTTAATCCGAACTATGTTAATTTCGAGGTAAAAATTAGTCAATCAGATACGGTCCTTGCAATCGGAATTATTGAGGTATATTTCAACGTAAACCGAGGTCTTAACAGAGCTTGCGTGTCGCAAGGAAATTACACAACGGATGCTGCAAGTCCATCTTTGAAACTGTTAAATAGTTTGAGCAGCACTGCATCTATAATCGTGCAGACGCGTCCCATAATGTTACGTACGCATGTTAGTGGTTAATGCAATCTAAAACAAACGTTTAGATTTTTCCATTTTTTAACTTATTGACCTCAAATATAAATGACTGAACTGCACTTGTGATTGCACAAACGGTACAAATCTTATCAACGTAACCGCGTATGAAGTTATATTTCCCTAGGTAATTTTTTCTTCATTCATGTGCACTGTGACAAATGATGCGTACCTGATGAGAACATTTCCTTCTTAAAAGGGGAAAGGATTATTGTTCCACTTTCGCTTTTAAAAAATTCGTATTTTCCCGTAACCATCCTTTTTGTATCCAAAACGCAGTACAGCCGCGCATTGAATCGATCATATGACCAAAATTGGAGGTTGGGTTGTATGAATCGCTCGATGGTGGTTACTGCCGCAAGCTGCAACGGAATGAGATAGAAGAAATTAAAATGATCATAAGGATAACAGAAAAATGCAGCATGTGCTTAGGTAAATATGGCGCATAGAATGAACCGCTAAATGGGCACTGCTGTTTTCCATTCATTGTGTAGAAACTCGGATTAGCTTTATTGTGTTTTGAATGCACATGGATGTCATAATTGTACAAGAAAACAAAACCACTTTTTGTTTTAGTAATATCCCGGAAAAATTTCATTTCCACTAGTGCACAAACGGGCACAAGATTTGTTTTTAAACTTCAGTTTCGTTGCCAAAACCATCAGGAATTTTGTATTCAAATTGACACTTTCGGGAAAGAAGCCAAAAATGTATGGGTGCCTTTATTCTCTACTTCGCTAACCTTATCTATTTTTATCTGATAACGCTCTTTTCACACGATTACTTAACTGCAATTAGTTTGGTGTTTACTTTGTTATCTCAAACATGAGCTCTTTATTTTTTGAGTACTGTAAATTGTCGTGGATAAGCGAATCCGTACGTAAGCCGACAGTTAGTTTTTAACGCCACATTTGTCTAAAATTGCAAGTCTCCGTATTAACCGACTCCCATAATAATCAGATAAAAAAACGAAACTTTTTATAACGCTTTTTGCCTAATCACTACCTGCTCTCAGTTTGTGTTGAGATCTTCATTAGTGTGGATTAGAGCCCTCAGAACCATTAATTTAACCACACTAGACAGTACTTATTTGATGTCAAGTCACACGAAGTAGGTGAGACACGACCATTTGGGGTAAGTTGAAAGGGTATGTCAAACACCGCCTCGCATTGTCGGGTGCCTCGTGCACCCGAATCGCAGTAGAGAAGCGGGTGAAAGGGAAGTTCACGGTCAGTAGTGGATGACCACTTTGTGCGTTTAATGCATTGGGTTGACTAGCATATTATAGTGTATACGCGCTGTAATTTAAAAAACGAAAATAGCGCTAACGCGATATCACGTGATCCAGGGGAAAGAGAATGTGCCCACAAATCGTGAGATGTGCAAAAGACGTGGAAAACTGAAAAATGTCTAGACAGAAGCAAGGTGCATATGCTGCTGGCTTTAAATTGAAAGATATCGCGTTCGCCGGAAAGAATATAATTATATGGCTGCAAGCCATTTCACGGTGAATGTAAAGTAATTAAGAGAATGGCGAAAGTAAAGGGCTTAATGTCATAATGCCTGTAGGCAAGAGAGCAGCGCGAGGTAGAAAAACTATGCTTTCTGCACTGGAGAATAACTAAGCCAAGGTTTATGGATTCATGGCAAATCGTGTCAACTGGTATCCAAAAGAACGTTCGGACCATTATGCTCAAAATGTTAGCAACTCCAGTATTCTAGCCCTAAAATCCCGTGTATGTTGCTGTTTTCTTCTGTTCGTGTAATCGTTTTATGAAAAGATTCGGCATGTGTCTAGGGACCCCTACAAAACCCATCCAGAAACTGCCGAAGAAATTGGACAGAAAAGTTGAAGATTGTCAAAGTTTCATTAATCAACTGAGAAAGCAATACGAATTTGAACCGTATCATTTACAAAATTTCTGAGTAGAGCTACATATTCTAGCTCAATACACGGAGGAAGTAATATGTGTCGCCTATTTTCTGAAATGCTAGTACGTAATTCTCTCGCTTTTGGCCTATATACAATGGCGTATAATCTTTACATGGAATTTTGTTAATGCAGTTAGTAGTTTTATTTAAAGGGAGTGAAGTTTTCAGATGCACAAGCGTTGACCATAGCGTTTGACCCCTCTGGAAAACTACAGTTAGCTATGCCTTATTCATTACTCTCCGAATGGCTTCCAAAGATCCATTTTATACGGAATACCCGCTGTTGCCATCCACAATGTGGTTGGTGTTGCGCTTGTGTTGAGATATTTATGTAGCTATAGTTTCACTAATCCTTTCGGACACCCGCTAGCTACTAACGTTTTCATCGCCTCCCAATGCGTTGTTTTCTTATATTCTTCCTCTGTGCACGGAGCACTTGCTCTGTGTAATAGTGATGATGTTGTTCCCGCCTACAAGTGCTTCGGGTGGCTTGACCTATAGCTAAGTACCCTATCTGTGTCCATTGTTTTGCGATACATTGTCGTTGTTAACGTTTCTTCTTTCCTATGGAAGAGACATTCAAGGAACGGAGGTATACTGCCCTGCGACTCAAGTTGCTTGGCGAAATTTATCGCATCGTCAATGCAGTTCAAATTGTTTAACAATTCCACTTTGCTATCTTTTTTATAATCGCAAAATTGTCATCCAGGTTGTGCCACCATATTTCAGGGCAGCACGAAAATCTGATAGTGCCTTCTTTGCAAACTCTTCCATGTATATATTGGCTTCTACGGGGATATCGGTGATCCCACGTCCAGACCCTGCTCTTGGGGAAATATTCAAGGCTGGAGAGTGAAATAAGTCATGTCGAGACACAAAGCTATCCCCTCGGCTAGTTGAGCAACAGCAAGTTTTGTTCTGTCCTCTAACTTGCTGTCCCTTATCAAACGGCTTCTCGCTGATCGAAAGGCCTTAAACTTGGGTACATTTGGGAATAAGCTAACATCAAAGCTGAGCAAATATTTGTCCAGTTTCATACTCACCCTTCACAACATTCACGCAAACTCATAAGTTTAGACAAACGTGCTCGTTCTCCCTGTTAATGGTTGTAGCAGGCTTGCCAGGAACGTAGCTACTTCATGTGTGTGAGGGTCTATGCAATCCACTACAAGTCGTAAGGGGACGTTGGACTTGTTTATCTTTGGGATACAGTAAATTCTAGGTAAAATATCTGACTTCGAAAAAAGGCTGTACTGCTTGCCTAATCCTAAACTGTCCTTCACTGTCTGTATGTAACTACGGACATCTGATTTCTTATTACACATTACCTATGTAGCCCTTTCCTGCTCAATCACTTTGTATGGTCCCGTGGTCAACATCTCAATTAGGTTTTTTATATAATCCGTAATCTTCCCTAACATTGTTATTTGCCTTCATCCGCTCTTGTAATTACAATACTAGTGACCACTTTCAGGGCATTTAATGCTGCGTTCTGCTGAAGCAGGATTCGATTCTGCCGGCTGTTGACATCCAATTACATTTGCCATTTGTGGGCGGATGCCGGCACATTTTTAACGGGCAAGCTAGTCAAAACAGGTTCAACACCAGGAAATACATCTTCACTTAGTTTAGATTTAGTTTATGGTAAAATGCAGATCCTTTTTTAAAATGCTACGCTCTGTTAAGCTTAAACACTAACTTACTTGTTAGCAACTCTAAGATAGTTGCTATTAAATACAGGCTTAGCAGTACGACTATCGGCTTTAGCAAGTGCAGCCACCAAATGTTGAACTTGCTTATCTGCCTGTTCTTATACTCCCGTCCACTTGCCAACTTAGCTTCGGAGACTTTAAAGAAAGTCTGTCATTATCAGTCTGTGCCACTGCAGTCTGTAAATCTTAGCTCAGCTGACTCTCATGGAGGCAAATTGCAGCCAGACCTCTAGTTGTTGCTTAGTTTCATTGTCTGAGAAATGCTTTTCCTGCTCCGAATGCCATTCGTGCGCGATGCGTGAGGAATCCGGAGGATTATCGATGAGGGATATGGAAATAATATTCTTCTTCTGTCACCCGATGTTAAAACCCGGTGATTTTCCCCGTTGGCTTCGATGCCAGTTATGCGCATATATACTCGTTAATTTGTGAACACGCGGTCCGTGTATCTACCCGGTCGTCTACCAAGCCTCCTGCAATGATTACTTCCCGATCGGGTCCAAATGTGGTGTTACCAATATTTTAAGCATTGCTTAACCATACCAAAGTTCTCAAAACGTAAGAGTATTAGGCCCAAAGGAGAAGAGATTTTATGGAGCTCATGACCTGTAGTAACCTTCTAGAATCCCCCATCAATTTCCTTTTACCAACTGTAGCTTATTTGTCTACTGCATATTACTGCAACGCCAAATATAGTTTGCGAAGGCTCCTTCTTCTATCAACGTATTAAGGACTCACATATACGCCGACTCAATCGACTGCCTCACAAGTATAACGCATTCAGTAGTCGCTATAATTGAAATGTAACACACACGAGAGCTCAACGGTTTCCATTTGGCGCAGGACAAAGTGCTGTGAGAGGAGATGCCACTGACAAACTTGTCACTAGGGAGGTCGAATTTCAGTTGACCTTGATTTTTGCTTATGTAATTGTCGTTGTGACTCAACAAAGTTTCACTGGTTGCTTGCCGAAGAATACTCGTCCGTCTTAGTTACATAGCCTAATGCAGACGACACAACGGGCAAACCATCAGTAAAATTAACTCTGACGGAAGCATGCAATATATATTTTGCAACTGTGTTGCACTGACATAGCCCACATGATATATTCGTAATGGAGGAGCATATGAGCGGCCTTCAATAAAAGAAATTATTGGTAGAACACTAAACACACCTTTTTTCTTCTTTCTACCACTAATTCATTTACGGTTCCATCCAATTTACTTGTCTGCTTTATAATTCACCGCGTAGATATGTTACCCTACCGGCCGCATCTGTGCGTGTGTCTAGTCATAGTAATGGATATGGACGGTTATGACCGATATAAACAATCGTTGTTAGGATAACCACACGAATGTCAATACTAAGCAAGTGTATGCTCGTAGACCTAAAGAGCAAATTAAGTGTCATTTTACGTTGTCTTACCGAGGTGTATTAAGAAGTTATGCACACGTGTTCAGTCAAATATCTCTCGTCCGACCTAACACTTGGTATCTTTCATTTGATTATACTTAGGTCGAAGCAACACCGCAGTTACATTCACTAGACACAAGAGCATAACTTTAAAATTTAGATGGAGGTGTCTCAACAGCTCACCATAAATTAATTCATGAAGGCCCATTTGCCGAAAGGCACAAATGGACGTCACAGACTGGCATCGCAGATGCGCAGTTGAAAATGCAACTGAGGTGCTCAAAGCAACCAACAGATTTGCCAACCGCGAAGCAAGTTTCACTATTTTAACTGTAGCACAGCTTTCTAAATTCGGCGGTCTATGACATGGTCAAACTACCTTATATTACTGGAATTGGTGCATCTTATTGGGTGTCATAAGTAACAGACACTGATTGTGTAACCATAGTTCGTCTAGTCTCAATCAGAAGTTCTAACCCGATATGTTTGTTCATCGATGAATAGTACGTTACGAATATCATTCTATGGTGTCATGCGATTCCCATAGGACCCTAGTGTCAACGGAGCATATGCACGGTCCGGAGCTCACAGAGTTTATTTGCCCTGATTGTTGAGATCATATATGCATTCGTTTGATCGCGTTCATCCAACGCATGGGAATTTCTATTGAATAAACTAAACCCTATGTCCAATGTTAAGCTATTATCGCGCTCTAATGAAAAATTGTTATTGATTATCCCCCAAAGATTGTTCTGGCTCATAGATCACCGCTTTCACCAGTTCCATTTTTTGCATAATATGAGATCAGCATTTATACTGGCGCAAGTGACCACGAGAGCTTAGTTGTAGTAAACTTGTTTTCGGAATATATGGTATCTGCCAAATTCAGAAAGTGTGCAACTTTTAATCCATTCACTGAGTATGAGAAAAGCGTATGTGCAATGGCGTATGTGCCGATCACAAAGAACATAGATTAAGACACATGAAAGAATCCTGAATGAAGTTGATATGCACCCGATTTCATTAGCTTAGCATTCAAAGATTTTTATTTTGCTGAATAAATGATGATTTATTCTGAAGTTCTTTTTGGGATACCTCCCATGACACGTCGAAATATATTTATAATGGAAAGGTGTCGTATCTAAGCTCTCAGAATTCCTTTAATATAAAGCTCCAAAATAATTAAATTTGCCAAACTACCAGTAACCCATTGTAAGTATATGCGGTTGCGTTCTTCCCGTTCGGCTAGATGCCTATGGTTTGGCGCAGGATTATTTCAAGTATGGTTTCATCAATGTATATTGATTAAATAATTAGAACGTTATAACCCTTTGGATGCGCGTCAACTGCAAAATATAACAACTGAGTGCTGGTCAGAGGGGAGGGAATGAAGATATGAAGCAAAGGCGATTAGTGCCATTATTGTCAGTAGCCCAATTCGATGGACCATGAGCAGTCATACAATCATTGGCACAAATAAACGTAGGTAGTTTATTGGCATTAATCACCGCATTCATAAGCTTGTTAGACTGCGTTTATTCTAATGGGACATGCTCAGCTGTCTCAAGCAATTCGAATCTGCTTGTTTTGCGGCAACATATGAATGAACCTAAACTGCCTTACCACGTATATTTCGATGAGTAATCAAGTGCGGTCACTTTTCTTTTACTGAACCCGCAAATTATCGTCGCACATGCGTTTACTATGATCTTAAGGATTACTTTCACACACAACTTGCGGTACCCAGACCTCGTAAACTGTGCCGTACCCACAATACTCCAACAAATTATAACTGCCGTACCCGTCCAGTACTGAACCATAAACAGGCGTTCGTGGTTTTTTAAAGGAAATATTTAACGGTTTTCTAGTATTTTTACAGTCAAGCCTGTTGGCTGATTAGCCAAGGCGCAAATTAACAGCTCGTAGTTAACCATCTCCAGTATTGTTTTGCGTATTTTTTCTGGACTTTGTAATCTGCCTGCTAACAGTTCTTTTGGTCCTTAGATATACACAGGACCTAATGGTTGTATATTGGTTAGGAATGAACTCAAATGAGAAATTCACCAATCAGCGAGCGGACGGATTGAGGTGACAAGGAGGCCGCGCTTAATCCTTTGAAATAAACCGAAAGACTTCTCCGATGACATGGGTTTTGGGCAATGTTAATTATCCGTGGCCACGCTGAATTTTGTATCCCAGAAAACCTGCAAAGAAACTGCAACTGTTGTGCTTGGGACAACTCTTTTGGAGCCAATACTCTCTGCCGCACATGCGCTAATGTTCTATATAGTTGAACGCTCCCACCTCAATTGCTCAACCTGTTAGCAAGCATGGTGAGGTTTTACCACGAAATGTAGTGTTTCCCAGTTCACTTCATTAATTTATTTAAACGCCGTGAAATATCAACACTTAGCAGCGGAACGGCCCCCATCGCGCAACAACTGAAACCTAGATGGTGATCCGGATGTATTTGGTTTTACTAGACTGTAGGATTATAATTTACACAAATTCCATCACAAACACACTACTGACGTTAATTCCGATGAGCTAAACTTTGTCAAGGAACAAGACATTTTACCAATGGAAACCAACGCAGTATTTCTGAATGGGCTGCTTTCACCACCGCATAAACATTTGAAGTCACCAAGATGTGTAGATTTTGCGGCACATGAACCTCTCTAAATAATCCATACCTAGGCTACTGTGTTAACTTTAAAAAATCCAATGCGATGCTGAATTGTTCATTCTCCCTGGCAGGGGAGGCCACATTTAGATAAAAGTGTTTAGGACGATTGCATATAATTTATTTTTGCTGACCTTATGTGAAGTAGCCTAATCACCTGAACCGCTTCCGAAGCAACTGTAGAGAAATCAAACATCGTGCAGTGCAGTGCGTTTGGGGATAAAGGGTGCTCCTTGTTTTCTCCACTGCTAGAGCTAGATGATTCCATGTGTGAGCATGTATTTTTCCACCATAATGCGCGCAACTGGTTGGCACTCGATTTTATTACAATGGTTTGCTGCTACTCAGGGAGTAATATTGATGAGTAGTACCATCTGGTTGTGTCTCAACTGAGGAGAATAATGCATGTATATGTTTTAGGACGTGCATTAAATGTTTGACCCTTTGCACATCATTTCTACTAACTTTACAATTTTTGTAATTCTGATGGCAGCAAAACTGTGCTATCTGCCTAACTAGTAAACCTATCGCTGAATTTGTTGGAGGAAGCAGAACTCATAATCACTCGGTTAGAGAACTGCGAAAGCATTAGTAGCGTTATAGTGTAAAACCAATTAAAGACCAGTTGCATTTTAACGTCTGCGGCTTAAGAAATTGCAATACAAGTTGTATCGGACAGAAAAAGTAAAGACTATTTGATTGAAGAAATAAAAGCATTAGTTGTTACGTTAGTAAATTTGCCACTTTTTAACATTCAAATCAAGATCAAACTTCATGCATTTAGAAGAGCTATTATTTTAATCCACTGCACAGCTTTATTACCCGGATGAAATACATGATGTTATTCAAGTTGCACTCAAACAAAAGATGAGCAGATGAGTCGAACACGAAACCAGTGATTATGCCTTCAGGTAAAACACAGTGTGCATAATTGATCCAAAAACTTATAAAGCTGTGGCAAATTAAATTCTCGTTTTTATATTAATTATTCATTGCAAAATTTACGATTATAAATTGAGGTTCAGAAGCTGACGAACTGTGTTAGAATTTGAACAGTCCCACTTATGTTTACCGCAAAAAGTTTTCCTCGATTACCAACGAGCATGTATAATATTAATGTCAGACCGATTACTTATTTACCAACTGTGCTAGAAGATCACAGTCAATAATAAGTCAATAATTGTGCAGTGACGCTTGATAGTTGATTGCTTTGTACGGATTAGGACAATCATTTGTGTGATTGGACATCAACAGCGCTATATCAATATTTATTGTGGTGCTCTTGGCTAATTACAGTGGAAAATATGCATATGCCTTTTTAGGTTAATTTAATGTTGAATATTTATTTCAAGTATTAATAGACAAATATGGTATATTAGGAATACATTTGAGGCATACACTTGCATTCGCTGATTAGCAGAATAAATTTAGAATGCGATGTGATTTGTAGAAATTATGCCTTCTGAGGTTTGAATAAGGCAGTTCCGAGTAAAACATGTACGTAGGTTGATATTTTCAATGTATACAAATAAAACGTCTGCGCAAAGCTTATGTGCTGAATGTAGTATACGTACATGCCACTATACTCCGCATTCTATTGAAAGGTCAATAGTTTCATGCTTTTGACACTACCCTACTTATAGTTAACAACCCAAATGTTTGTTTATTTCAAGCAATATTTACGAATATTCTCAGCGCTAAATCTTGTGACTTACCTCTTCAGAACACACTTTATTGACAGTTTCAATGGCGTGTTTTGTTTCTAGTCTCTCTTGAATTTTCGAAGCATCCATGATAATGATTGATAGATCGGCTTCAAAATGAAAGGGAAAAGGTTGCATGAAGAATTAGTCTACCAAAAGGCGAATTAGGAGCACTTGTAACGCTTTCGTCTTAACTTAAGTGAGAAATCACCGACCCTGCTTAAAAATGTTTACTAGCCTCAAGGTTTTACGACAACATTCCGTCCAATTACTTGTTCTATTTAATGTGGCATTTGGCAAGTGTAGAAACAATTTCTCAACACTTTGATGCGTCTACATTCCTACTTACTGAAGCCTACAAACTAAGCGGTTAAGTTCGGCAGAAAATTATACATGTAATTATAGATCATTGTATTGTTGAATACATGGAAAATACTTACTTATATTTTCATTTTCCAATTGCAAGGACAAATGATACAGAAATAAATGTTTGTAGCTAAGCTTGATTATTTGTTATTTGAACTGTTGGCTAATCTTGGTAAATAAATTGCCAACTCAGGAGATCAGTTTATCTAACGTATACAAGTTGTTTTATTGGGTCAGTATATCTCGCTTGTTTTCTGATAAAGCGTTTGATGCCTACCAAGCTCAAAGATAGAGTAAAGGAAACGCCGATATAATATCTACCTAAATGCTTTCGCACAGATGGATATCCAACATAGGAAGGGCAGATACGATAGTCCAAATTTTAATTTCTGATATTTCCGCTTATTCTCAAGGGACATATGGTGGTAATTTCGATTTAAATATTGACCTAAACACTGACGGCGCTGTCGCACTCATCGGTCGCTCCAGCCTGTTTGTGGATTATTTATAAAAAATTTTCTACGCACCGTTGTACTTATATGCATTCAGCAGGATTTATCGGCTATACAAAATGGGGAGTATCTTTTGGATGATAGCCCTGACGTCTGACCCTTGTCTGCGTTTGCGTCTAATTTGTCATCGTAATTTACGAGCATAATAATACAGTTGTCGCATAATTGGTGCAATATTTACAAGTTCATGAGTGCGCTTTCTTGAAACGATCAAGTTATTTTGGCATTGTGGTTTCTCCAACATCATTTACAGTTGTGTTCTCGCAATTTGCGCAAAACAGCTGTTCAGCTAGAAGTCATAAGGAAGTGTTTGTTATTCCAGTCAATCGCCATTCTTTGTGACGTTACCAGTCAACGGTCATATATAACCCCTCGCACGGAGCGCACACTGACACACAACGGTAACTTGACCAATCTTAAGTCAAGATTTATGTACCCAGATGGGAGCATTTTCCGCAAGTTGCGGTAACAACTACGAATTAATTAAAATATATTGACCATTGCGAAGCGTAATAACTTTGGTAGAAAAATGAAAATGGAGCATTGGTGTCACTAGAGAATAAGGGCGTGCATACTTGAGCAAAATTGCATATTGATATACAGAAGGCTCGTGTTTCTTTTCTAGCGGACAGATTATAGTTTGTGAGGACATTTCATCTTGTTTGGTTTCAGATAGCCTCTACGTTCGTGGCGAAACCAAACAAACCACAAATAGAACGCGGTATCTAAGCGAAATATTACAAATACCGTTCTTCTTGTCTTTGGTTATATATATATACATATATATCTTCAGTAAACAAGGTAAAATTAGGTTCAAGTGAAATGCAACGGCAGATTTATAAGCCCTCCTTTGACAACATTATACATGTTTAACCCATGTGCACCGCTGTAAAGTTAGGAATTTTCCATAAAGACAACCAGAGCACTTTTTAGGAAAGTTACTAAAGCAAATGACCGCTTACAGGAAATTTTTAAACCAAAATTGCTCCGAACGAAGAGCATCTGCGAGTCATGATAATGAAATCGATCCGAGAAGTTACTGTTATCTTGCGCGCTTTCTTCTCAATGAACTCATCCAAATGTGTCAGCTTATCCCAACAACGGATGTGAGGGGGAAATAATTCCCAAGTCGCCCGCTGGAGTGTACTGCATGTAAAACTATCCTATTCGTCAAGTTTATGCATATACTGGTTCAAAAAGCGTCTAGTTGACAACATAAGTCTAGCAGCGAATGAGCGTTGGGAGTACTTCATTAGAAGCAAGCATGCACCAGATAAACTTAGTAGCATCTAAGCTAATAAATTATGCACGAACTTCTTCCCGTGAAAAGAAATCATCCAAGTCTGAATCACCTTTTCCATCTCCTACTTTGGCTGATATTCCGTCGAAAATTGACCGCAGCACTGAGAGTCATGCATTATTCGTTAAAAGAAAAATCACACCACCCAAATATGTGATCATTCAGATTCCACCAGACTTGACAGCTAGTGTTTTTATCAAGTGCAAATCAGTCGATAACCTCCCCTATGCATTGGATGCTCAAATTTCTCCTGGTCAACCAAAGTCCCCCGGGATATCAGTCCGATATGTAGAGATTGCTAAAAAGTCCCTTAAAGTACCAACGTCATATTTTCCTCTTTTAAAACACTGCTAGATTGAATAGAAAGTCAGAGAGATGACAAACTTTACTTGGGCAAAAGACAGTATTAAAGCTTAACCGATATGCCAGGTCACCAAAAAGGATGCAAAACTTGTGCCATATATGATGCTTACTAAAAGTCCCTGAAATTACCGCCATCATATTGCGGGTCAGGTTGTATGACGGCAAAAACAATGAACAACGTGTGTTTAGATGAACGTCAAATCAAAATTCCAAAACACAACACGAGTTACTCTACACACATCTCTGTATATTCTGGTAAACCCAAAATTAGTAGGTTACAACTAACATATTCCACTTATGTGTAACAAAGAACAATCATTCACGCCGGTTATAAAAGTCGTTACTTGACTTGTCCCAAAGGATGGTGCGGGTAATGCGGCAATTATCAAAAAGTAGGTGAATTGTCTGTTTGAGTGTTTAACTAGCAGACAATCTGCTGAATAATAGTAGTGTAAGTGGGACATGAATGCGAACGGAGAGGCGACATGTGGACACTTCTGGTTGGTGTAATTCGAGAGAAAAGTAAAAGCGATAATGCCCAATTCTATTTCGCATTCTCAGATTTATGTGACATTTTAATCTATACAAAATACACAGTAAAGTCAACAAGGCGATTGGGGCCAAGAGCAAAAACTAATCGTTTTGTGAATCTACATAAGGTGGGGAAGGAAACAACAAAGTTTGGGAAAGATTTCTAAGCTTGCCAATTCCGAAGAGAAAATAAAGTATGCAGGCATTCCAGGCGGATATATTGTGAACGCAATTTTAGAGGGTTACCACTGAAATAAATGTCATGGCTGATTTTCAGCAAGTGACGGCAAATGTGATTAGGGCCAATCAATATTTGGTAGACTAATATGAGATCGCCGAGCAGCCTTCGGTAGCGGCCAATGAAAAATCAGGGAATTTAGTCTTTGATGGTAGGACAGAATCCGTAGACAATTGACGTCCTTTGTGGCCCTGCGATGAGGGTTCACTAACACTTCTATGTCGTGCTTCAACCAGAGTTACCAAGCTGGGATTTCGTAGTTAACTTGAGGGCGCAATTAAGAATTTTGCAGCATGAGGAAGATAGATGTTTCGAGCATTCCATATGCTGTCCGCAGAAAGCGGACGTGTTGGGTTTCGCCCTTTGCAGCTGACTCTAAATGTTTGAACGGGTAAGGTCAAGTTAAATGAGCACACAAAATTCCCATTCTTGGGACGTGATTTCCAATACATGTGACTCAAGCCTATACACATACTCACGATTATGAGGCAATTAAACAGGGTGACATTTTTTCACTTTGAATGGTAATTTATTCATAACTGACCAATTTGAAGTCGTGTTGAGGTCACACTGTAGCTTTACGTGGTCTTTCGTTTATTTGATCGCTCGCCATAATCTTATATGATCCGCGAAAAATAGGAATCGTAAGTACTTTTCCTCGCCAGATCGTTTATGAAAATCAAGGATAAACGGGGCCCGAACACCGAGCTTTTGGATACGCCGCACTCCACCTTAATTGCCGCGGACAAGGATTCTCCTACTATTACATACAACCGATATTCCTGCAGGAGATTGTTTATCCAACCCAGTAGTGAGTCACGAACGCTATAGAGCTGAAACGTATATAGAAGAATCTCTGGTTGTTAAAGCGATATAACGCTTTTAAAAAGTTCAGGTAAATGACTTGCACTCCTGCCCTACAGTCAGCTGGTTCAGTCTAGCCCTAAGGTGCAACTAGCTTGCTCGTAGTGCATGAGCGCTTTTGCCGAAAAAGATGTTGTGCTTCTGCAGCTAATGCTTGAGTGCATCAGTGATGGTAGACTCCACAAATTTGGAAAGCACATAAACTAGCGTTATCAGAATGTAATTGCTTGGGTTAGTGCGACTATCCCCCTTATAAGTACCAGTGAAGATCCCTCACGTCCATATTGTTGGGATATGGCTTTCCTGCACACAATACTGAAAGAATACCGCCAGATGTTACGGCAGGTCACTGACTTTTGTCTGTAAAGCATTGAGTAGAATGTTATCCATACCAGGATATCTGTGGTCGTGCCACGACAACTGTTTAACACACCTTCTGCAATAAAATAATATTAAAACAGACTGACGGTGGGAAACTATTAACAGGGAAAACCGTGAAGTCTGTGACTAATGGAACCGTAAAAGATTCGCTGCTTCCGCTGCTGATCGCTTGCACCAGTATGTCGTGATCGTGCTCCAATTCCGCGTTCCACATTAGATAGACCATTGACATGTTTGTATGCGACTGCGATTCGTGTAGAGTCGCTTCAATAACTCCTTTGTCACTGTGTTCTATTAGGTCCGATTTACACAAAGCTATTCTATGCTACAGACGCAGCCCAGGCTTCTGATTTTCATGAATCCTTGTTAATTCTTCATGAAAGTCCCTCAATGACATGTATTTGCATGTTCTATTGCTTAGCAATGACTTCGTTCTCTATTGACGGTTAAAACAGTTTTACTTTGGTGCGTGAGCTACCTGTGGACTAAATGTACCTGTTATATTGTATCCAGCGATTTATGGGAGGCTTTTAGTTAAGGATTTACAAGTTACCTTCCTAACCAGCAAGTGTAGCACGTTTTA